ATTTTATTGAGATTAAATTTTACAGATTAGATTGATTTAAGGCTTATAATGAAACAACCTTATTATTAATTTATATACTATATTATTATTATTATTATTATTATTATTATTATTATTATTAATTATTATTATTATTTTATTATTGTTTCAATGAAAATGAATATAAAATCTCTGTAAATGATATTCAATAAGACGGGGATTTAGAGAAACTATGTGGATGGTAAATGAATGACACCAGTTCTAATGTTGTAATTGGTAGTTGACAGTGTTTTAGATAAGTAATATAGATAGACAGATAAGTAGACGGACATTTAAGCTACTGAATAGACAAACGAATAATGAACAGGTGTCTTTTTTGTCTATTTTTCAATATAGTCAATAATTAGTTGAACAGATGTCATATCACATATAATGTATGTGATTCGTACAGTTTTGCACACTCACACACACATTTATGTACATACATGGATGTATTTCCGGAAATTCATATTGATCTGTGATTATGAACAAAAAGAACTAACTGAATTATCGGTAAATGGTTCAAGTTGAATAGCACTAAATTGTACAAGTTTATCTTATTAATTCTTAGTGGTTCTGCGGTGCATGCTACTTATGCTAACAGATATAAGTAGTATGTAACACCGGAGTGAACATCAACTCTAAGGTGCAAGTACATTCAGCTGAGGTTTTCTAAAGAGGATGAAACGCGCGTCTTGAATTCCACTGCCAGCTACTATTCATCTTTCAGTATCTATCACGTACTTTTTAACTGGAAATTATTACAACATATTTTCTAAAGCCCAAGTTTCTTTTCAATCGACTCATACGGGCCTTTCAATCATATGATACCATTTGATTTTGTTATACGTTAACGATCTCATGAAATGAGAAGACATAATGATTAGAAAATATTTAAAAAAATATTTTAAGTAAACTATAGAACACCTGTTAATACGAATTTTCAAGAGTTAATGGTATTAGACACTCTATTAAGGATTCAGGCAGCATCCAAGCAGTTAGAGTTTGTATTAAAAACTTTGGTATTTTATTCCAGTTAAATAACTTAACACAATTTGAATTTGATATCATTTGCGAATCTGTTTAAAAAAAAATTATTCATTATGATACCAGCAATCTTGAAGAATTTCAACAAGATTTATTATGAAACTATAAAAATTAATTGAATCTCATGGAAACCACTAAGACTGAAAGATGTTTGTGTTAAACAGATGGTGTTATGGCCATCTGAATATACTCAGTTTATGAAATAATTATAAGGTAAAACCTAATAAAGAAGCATTTACGTGAGCTTCAATGTAGTGTTTTGAATATTGATAAACAAAAAACCTTTCTTCCTGGAGCTGCGATTTAATCGAGATATAGCTGGTAATGTGCTACGGGATAGACAGACTAGAGCAAAGAAGAGAACATTTAATGCAGCTAACTAATGTCTTTAGTTCTCAACCTGGTCTATGGTGATTGCTTAACTAAAGAATATGTTGCCTGGTCCTGCCAAATCTATATGTATCTACAAATTCAGCTGCTCCTGTGGAGTAAGCTATATTAGGTGCACTAGCAGACAAATGAACCAAGGAGTTAGTGAACACCTCCATTCGTGGCTAGAAAGAAGTATCGTCAAAGCAATACGAAGATCTGTTTCTATGACACTTGACCGTTAGGTCATGTAGTAGTTAAAAGTAGATCATTTAAAGTGATGTGTCATACTCTTACTAGTTTTCCTTATAGGGTTCGACCTCCTCTCTTACACATAGCAGAAGCCATATGAATTCGAGCTAACAACCTCAGTCTTTGTATTTACAAGAAATCTGTAACATCTTTCTTTCTTCCTTGGTCGAATTAGCCTTGATAAAAGATTTCATTTACTATTATTATTCCATACTCTCTTCGTTAATTTTCCTTGACCCCCTCCCATCTACTTTTTCCTAAATATACGCTTCATTGTTCAATTGTCTGAATAGTTCTTATTACATAATCTTAGAGTTTTTATGAATGTTATTCCAACATCCATATTTTTCACACCGTTGACTTAATTCCCATTATGAAACATTGATTCAAGCGTTGATTGTTCTTATCACAATTAGTACACTGTCGTCTCACCATCAATTTATACTTTCTACTTATTATGTTTATTTATGTGATCTATTCCACTGTTATCACTGACTCATAAACTGCCTTGATTGGTTTAATAATTTCGTATATGCATATAAATATTACTGTATATTGGAGTAAAGCCTGATGATGATCCAATCGAATACAATGTCATTCACTTATATGTGTTGTTCTAATTTCATATTGGACAACTGAAAATTCACTAAGAGTTGTCAATTACTTGGAATATCACATAATAAGCAAATAAATATAAATAATATAAATATAACATACACATCAATACATCATTGGTAGACAATATATGCCTTAGCGATTATTTCTACGGAATTGAAATAAATACACTAAGTTACACTTGGAACATTACATTGAAGGAATGTGGGTTATTGAAGAATAAGATTATATTGAGTGATGTGAGAAATGATGTCAGAAAACTGATGCTTTCCAATTCCCAACACTAATTATTTACTATTATACCATTCATCCATTCACAGAATGGTCAAAATCGCATGATACCGTAAACGAAACTATTACTACTGATGAATCCAAATAAAAAGAACACAAACAAAGTCGATTGCTTTCAGAATATAATGATACCGATTTCAAATTTACAGTTATCTAATTGTCATAACAAACATAGTGACAACCCTAAGATGTAAATATTTAATTGAGTGTACAACTTCATTGAATTAATGAAGATAAGTATACTCTTTAAATCAATTCAAAATAATGCTTATCATTAAGAAAAATATTATCACTATAAACAATAATTAACTTAAGCACATAAAAATCAATCAATCAAATAAGTAAATCACAAACTAACCACAGATAAAAATCCATCTGATACTAATTGCCAACTGAAAAACTCTTCTATTCCATAAACATTCTTCATTGGTAGAATTGTTGATGAGTACTGGATTTGGTTAATATTTTCATCTTGTTGAATTAACATGTCTTCAGATAAATACTTTTTAGAATCATTATTTTCTTGTGTAAAACAAACTTCATGAGGATATAACTTTATATTATTATTATTATTATTACTATTATTATTATTATTATTATTATTATTATCGTTATTCAGAGCATTATTACTAATAGTAAATCGATTAGTTATAGCATAATTGGATAATTCAATTAGACAGGATAAGAGATATGACCAAATTTCATCATGAAACTTTTTATCCAGTTTACTGTTTAGAAAAGAACATCAAATACAATAAGTAATAATAATAATAGTAATAATGTAACATTGGAATGATTACTATTAAGTGAGTGTCATAACCATAAGGGTAATGATTGAGTAATTTTATAATAATCGAAAAAAATCAAAACTATAACACCATAGATGGTAATAGCCTTCATTTTGAACATTATATCAACTCGGTGATTACAATAATAGCTAAATTTAATGAGTATTAACAATATACTGATGTAATCAAATTGTGATGTTGTCGTTAATTTTTAAAATCGTAATTATTAACCAGTTATCTGGGTTTTTATTTCTGGATGTGGTATTGATATATCTAACAGTCAAATACTCAACACTAAGGTTCTAACCACTTCTTAGTCACTCAGAAATATTCTACGCATAAAAACTCTTTCTACTTCCAAGTTAGAGTAGGTATAGAAAACAAGGATATTTATAGAATTACGTATGGCCTTGATAATATTGAAGCTTTTCGAGACATGACAAAATTCATTTTGTATTGTTTGTTTGAGTCTTCCTATTGATGTTTAAGACTGTAATTCATCAGTCTCTCATTTACATATATGCATCCTGTACGGATTGCCTCGATATGACGAAATTATTAGCAAAATTTAGGATCATCAAATGACGACATGATACATTATTCACAACTTTTAAAAAACTCCCTGAAGAAGTCCAGACAAGTCAGCCGGATAAAACGTTGGAATTATTCAAATTTCAATCGCTGAGATTATTTCAAATATAATTTTCACATATAATAACTTTCTGAGTAGTTCCAAAGACACTTCATAAGAAGTTGTAAGAGCTTTACACGTAGATAATCATTTTTAACCAAACATGAACATGATTTAAGGATGAAATCCCTGAATTCACGTGTTATGAGCAATCCAACACTACAAACTAAGCTTTTATGAAAATCTGTTATGTTATCATATTTTAGTGGTGTTGATTAATTCAAGTTAACATAAAATCTTTCTATTGATTCATGAGTCGATTTAAATCAGTTAAAGACGGAACATTTGTAATCAAACAGCTGTAAATGAATTATTACTTGGATTTAAATGTAAGTTATTTTTGACTCTTATATATTAGAAAGAGCCTTGGACTCATGACATTAAAGCAGTTTTACGAACATTCGTAAAAAAGTACAACAGATTATGGCTGCGCGTCGCTGAGGAGTTCTATACTAGAACGAAACGGCCGTCCAGTGCTTTCGGGTTTCTAATGATGGTCTAAAATTAATCGGTTCATGATTTCAATTAAAACTCAACAATCTGCACGACCATATACTGATAAATATTAATATAGTCTACTGGTATAATAATGTACATAGGTTAACATTCGTATACATTTTCAATAAATAACATTAACTACTTATATGTTAAGAAGTAGTGTACAAAAATATTCAAATCTATTTCGCTTGGGTTTGCTTAAATAAGTAACGTTACAGGGAGTGCATGATCACATTTTTATTTACTTACAAAATAAAAGACTGAAAACGCTAGTAATACAATTTTAGTAGTCAATATATATATATATATGCATGTGAAACTTACTCAATGCATTCAACAAGTTGGAAGAGTTTACGATGACCTTCACATTTAACAAAATCTCTGTTAAATTGTTTACATTGCAAAACAATGGCTAATTCCATCAGTAATTGCTTAAATGGTCCATACAAATGATGTAATGGGTTACAATTACTATTAACAAATGTATTAGTAGTAGTATTCCTATTATCAACTAAACAATCCAATGCTTGGTTCAAATTTGAAATAAACTTCTCCACTGCTCTACTCTATTTAAGTAAATAGACATATAAACAAAATTAAACAACATTTATCGAATGTTAGATACAACGATATTAAGAAATCGTATTGAAATTTTCCAAAATCAATAGAGGTTAATAAACATTAGGTGATTTCTTTGTATTTTTTCTAAACACAATGGACCTGGGATTAAAATATGAATGACTTTATCATGTGTATATGTAATTAGAAATCAAGACAACTTCACTAGACCGAATATATATAAACTCGTACTAATGCTTCTCGTTAAATTTACACAGACAGATTTGTCTAATTTGGTTTGAGCTGTATATAACAACAATAATTCAATAACTTACCGTGTGAACACCATATTATACATTTGAACATCTATAATCCTTTTTAAAATGTGAATACATGATAAACAAGATTGTAAAAGATCAATTTCATATGTAACCCGAAATCCAATCGATTAGGCTATTACTCGTCAAATCAGAGGTAATTTAGTGAAGCATTTTTAAATGTATATGTTATATTCACTACAGATTACCATTCAAAACCAAAGAACACTAGATATCTTTAATTTCGTTAAAGATGTTAGTGAAGTTCTAATGAGCAGTTGCAAGTGGTAAGGTTCACACATGATGAGTGTAACAGTTGCTACTAATAACATTGGACAATAGTCGTGCTACATCGCAAGTTGATTAAAGTTAAAACTGTACCATTAGATCCTGACCCAGATGCTATAACAGTTAAGCATTCGCTGCAATGCCTGAAGTTCCTGTGTCTTTTACCTGATTGAGTCGTGAGTTCACATTGCTAAAGAGTCCTACACGAGAGTGAAACGGTTATTCAGTGTTCACTGGTTTCCAATCGTACCCTCTGAATAATACAAGCTACAAATTAAACTAACTACATACAATATTTATAACTTTAGACGTTCGAAATATATTAAAAGTTTGGCAGGAGCATAATAAGAAATCTGATTAAATTAAATAAAACAAAACACATAAACCACTTTTGGTGATAATAAAAAACTCAAAAAGGAAGGCCAAATAAAGAAGAATTATTCAAATATCTTCAGCATAATGTTATATCACATGAGAAATCACTGTAAAAATGAAGAGCTTTAGACAGTTGTTTTGTTCCACACTTCCTGAACCCGTAAGAAGTATGCCTCGCATTGATCAAATACATGATCGATTTAGAGAAATTCGGGTCTGACGACAAGGGCTTTAATTTAAGAAAGTTTAGCGGGATTTCAACGATTAACATTTTTGTATTCGGTCGATTTGCAATGAAGAATGGTTATTATCAAATGTAGCTATTAATACTCAACATTACTTAAGAATATGTAGTCAGACAGTCGAATGGTCAGTTTAAAATACCTAACGGGTATAAGCATATACATATATAATCCTAAGTATGACTGAAAAACCAGTTTCTCACTTCCAGAAAAATGACAATGTAAGTATACATCCTATGAAGCTAAGGTTGCCACTTTAATTAAAGTAACCTATCCATGCACACATACATAACATGACTGAGGTGAAAAGGGGAATGAAATTAAGTAAACTTCGGGTATCAGTCATAAGGTATATATATGAATACATTAATAATGCAAAATAAAGGGAAAAATATACAACCAATACAATCTGAATAATGGAAAACGTCCAGTCAGTCCTTTCTGTTGTTAAAGGATAATGAGCTATCAGAATATCATTTCAAAAAATTAAATACAAAAATAATTATGTTTGGTGTTTGGAGGCAATCAGTAGGAAACGTTGAACCTAAGTTTCGTGTTAGTTGGTAATTGTCTGTACGTCGTAACTTCAATCTTGATCGACAGGTTCTGATTAACATTAAGGACTAGGCAAACATGATACTTATCAGAACTCAGAGATTAATAAATTTCTCAGTCCTACAGGAGGTCGGTTTCTAACCAAATCGCTAATTAACGTCTCAAACAGTCGAAGTGGGTCATGTGGTTTTGAACCCTAGTGGGATTTTCAGTTCCATGAATATCGAAGGTCTTTTGTAAAGACGAGTACCAACCAGGACGAAATTCATTCGCAAGGTTTCTTATCAGCTCCCTCCAACCACCTAACATATCAATAAAATGTAAGGGATGTCAGATCACTTACACTAGTATCCACTACAAACTCACAATACACAAAAGATAAGGATTCATTAAATTTTAGTCAATCTACACAATCCTCAGCTTCATTCTACTAAGTACTTGGATAATACGGTGATTGAATATATGAATGCGACCAAGTTATAGATGTTAAGTAATTAATGTTTTCCAAACATTTCTAATATGTAGTGGAACCCATATGTAGGTTAATAAAATTCAGACTACACACACGGTACTAAATAATAAATAAATAAACAAAATACATAATAATCCGTGTCGCATAGAGACAGGTATCTACTTCAGTACAATGGAAGATGGTCACGCGATTTCGTAGATTGGTTGAAGTTAGACATTAACACCATTGAATGCCGGCTCAGTTGTTTAGTAGGTTAAGCGTTCGCGCGCGAGAGTGAAGGGCCCGGGGTTGAAATCCCGCGAGCAGGATCGTGGATGCGCACCGCCGAGGAGTCCCACAACGGGACGAACCGGCCGTCCAGTGCTTCCAGGTTTTCAATGGTGGTCTAACATCAATCGGTTTATGATCTCAATAAAAAAACTTAATAATCTCCACAACCCCTATACTGATAAATAATATAAACCAATTGGTAAAATTAGGTATGCTTTCGATAAAAGGTAGTGTAGAAGAGTTATACACACATGAGCTATACAAAATAACGCAGTGACAGTTTAGGAAAAAGGTTATAAATTTTTAAGATATGGTTAGAGAATAATGTAATTGACAAGTGATGAAAAAATGTGCCAAAATTTTAGGGCTCCTGGTTAAAAGTTTTCACAATCTCAATTCGTATAATTATACTAAACATAAAAAGTAACCAGCTTGTAGTTTGTAAAGTTACAAATTTGATCACATCCTCACAAATATATGCGATATGATTGCGTTTCTTATCAGAACAGAAAGAAAAAATATGCTGTTTATGTGCATTATATGAGAATGAAATAACTGTTCATTGCCTTGGAATCCACGTTGAATACTTCAAACAATTCAGTGAACCTACAGCCTTGAGCCAGTTAAAATTCATTCACAAGGTATATTTATTATCTTGAGTAAATTGGTGATTATGCACAGATTCAAAATGATACACACAGTGTTAACGTCAGAGATGGCTAAGATGAACTATTTCTAGTTTCTATGCATTTATAAAGTCACACTAATCAGTATAAAACAATTTTCAAATTCAATTCGAAATATAGTTATTATCTTCCTTCCATTTTATATCTGACCAATAAATGTCAAACAGTTCAATTCAAATAAGAATTGTCACACAGCTCCACCACTTAATAAACACACACAAGGTCAATGGCTCTTAAATGTCTAACTAACTAACTAACTAACTAACTAACTTCAATATCACTTGCACAGATATACACACATTAATAGATTGTTCACAAACAATAAATCAGATATTATCCTACATTTGTCACAAATATACGCAACATTAACCAAATTCATTCAACACACAAATCAATAGCTTAATAGAGATTCAACTTTTCGGTCCACTGAAACGAAGTTATCTAATCATGGGACGATTTTGTCGACAAATAAATTTAGATTCAACTAAATTCCCCATTGTGCTTCGGGTTACATCTAACACTATTCAATCACTTACTATTCCGAGTGTTGCTTCTTCCTATCACACACTTACTGACTACACAGAACACTATTGTTTATATTTAATAAAATAATAACTGATATAATACATACTATTCAAATTAATGTGTCAATTTCAATTAACTAGGATTAACAACAACAACAACAACAACCCATTGCATATAGTCACCATATTCGATTAACGAAAAGTGAAGTCACACTAAAAAAATAATCAAAAACAGTGATCAAGAAATAAGATACGTGTCCGAAAAGCGCTAGCGCATCCATTCCTCAATATTCAATATGTGTGCAATGACAACGATTTCCAGTCAATCTCCGTCCATTCACTCACTTCATCTTCCGTATAACACATTAGTATTCACTGATAATTTCATTTCAAACTATACATTTCACTTGATTTACCATTTCCATCACATAACTTGCGATGGTGATATATTCAGATTGAAAAGTCAATACAAGATAGCTTGAAATGATTCCAATCAGATTTCTAGGCAACACCCACAACCAATAAATTAACGAAAATAATGCTTACAAGTGATCAGTTTTCGGACTTTACTGAACACACTGATGAACACCACTATTAATCAGTCTTCCACCATATTCAAATGGCTTTTCGAAAATTCATCAATCACTTCAATAAAACGAAAGAAATCGAGAACGATTGGTAATCATTCGAACTATTTACGAAAATCCGCTGTTATATAAAACAAAACAAACATCATTTATTAACTAAGTAGTCAGTTTTAAAAATACGAAAATAATCAATTATGCTTAATATGCAGTAGTGGTGAACTATAAGGAGACTTAATGAGCAAACCCAAATTCTATAGGTTAATGAATGACTTATCAAGCTCATATTTAACACCCATCTATGTCTCAAACGAGTTGAAGTTAGTGGCTATCTGGACTTGTAGTTTATTGGGCAATGTGTTTGTGTCTGGGGCGAAAGATATTGGGTTCAATTCCAGTCTATTACCAATATTGGGATGGAAGTACATCTAACTCACGAGTCTTTGAAAGGACAAAACGAAACTGACCGTTCATCTAAATCCATAGATTAACAAATGTATTTGACCTTTATAGACACCGATATTGAAATAATTCGAGGATCAGAATGCTTGTAGTGTTTGTACTGACCTTACTTAAACTATATTTAAGTAAGTTCACTGTTAAAGAGATTTCTGAATAATCTGTTATTTAAACATTTAATGGAGATTGAAGTATAGTTTCCATACAATTTACATCGTATACTGTTATCAAATAAAGAGAGAATCATTCAGAATCAGAGGGCACTGATAAGAAATAATCACTTATGCTGCAAATTCGATACTTCAATTCTCACAGATAGCAGGCTACTTTTAGATGATCTAAAATTCCCTAAAAAAAGCATATTGAATAGACAATTATATATTAATACGGCAATACCGTAAAGGCTTGTTGGTTGATGCCATTAAAAATCGATTACGGATAGACCCTGGAGGTTGTAAAGTACCATCAAACAACTAAAAACTAGGTATTTACAAATAACTTTTATTTCTTCTCAAAAAATCTTACTATACAGATAAGGATTGTATATTTAATAAACTGAATACATGTAATTCAAAAAAATCCACCAATAAAAATCAAATGTTTATCATAGAACAATTTTATCTCAGTCAGTCAAACATAATTTCGGAACTGGCATATATTTGCTTCACTCCAAATTGCTACTTCATATCAATACAAAGAAATTATCAAGATGAACAGTAAACTATTTACTATAATTCTAGTATCAGTGCTGTAGTACAAAGTCATTAGTCATAAAGAGTAAGATGCAAGAAACAGGAATTGATGTACAAAGTCAAAAATGTGAAATAATTCTGAATTTCAGGGTTTTAGGAATGAAAAGAGTGAGTGAATCTGAGTTGATGTGACCGATTTTGGATGATATCACTTAAAGACCCCTATCACTTGTCAGGATATACACGTAGACCCTAATCAAATAATCCACACCTACCAAAATGTCTTAGACCAATAGTGATAAGTCTTGCGGATTGAACGCTATATTCGTCTCCTAAGCTATTCTGTAACCCCCAAGATAGAACTACACAGCGACCTGAACACGAGAGAGAAGATTCAAAGTATGCGAGAAGTAATTTACTCCAAGGTTCATTTTAATACAGAAAATACAGGGTTTTTATAACATTTTAATTGTCCTTGGGTTGTTAGAAGATTCTAGAATGCTACTAAACATAGCAGCAGCCAACCAATCACAGCCCCTGCACGCGACGTTTCGCTTCCTTGATATTTTTGGCTAGGACTTCAAGTGAATGCTGATTGGATGAAACGCTTCTTAGTGTTTCCTGATGCTTGCTTGTCTTGTGCAAGCAATTTTCTGGATCATCCCAACAAATAGTCAGTAACGTCATGTATTGATGCCACATCTTAGTTATGCCCCTTAATTTTTTCCACTACTTAACAGTCGAGCTAAAATAGAGCGATGGTTTTATATACGTAACTCGCAAGGAGATCACACATTATCTAGCATTTTTTGTTAAGAAATGGTAGTTCTTTTGTGGAAAGATAACCGCAATAACATTTTCTCGATTCATGCCTCCGAAGTGATTTTTATAGCTATTTGATCGGTTATTCCCACTCTTAGTTTGCGATTTCATTATAAATCATTCCAGGTTCATTGTTGATCTCTATATACCACAAAGTTGTCCCATTACAAATCTAACTTCAGATCTTTTATATAAGCTTTTGTTGAACACCTGACGTCATCCTGTTTTCCATGGCGTTGTGGATTATTATTAACGTGTTGCATGTCAGTCATCCAGTTTATCAAGTCTATATCAAGTCCCATTCATATCATAAGAATTTCTAAATCGTGTGCAATTAGAAATTACAGTAGGCCTCTATATAGTAAAACATGACAGTTATACATATCTCAATTACCTCAGTCGATGAGGATTCTCTACCTAGTCTGGCGATTCAGTATGTTATTTTTCGTTTTACTTGAAGCTTTCAATACTACATATACTCTTAATTCGTACCAAAAAAATTAGAATACACTATTCACGCCTATTAATTAATTAGGCCACTCATTGGATAATATTTTGAATTAAAGCTACCTTGTGATTTACATTTCTAACTGAATTCAGTTAGACAACTGTAAAAACCAAAAAAACATTGAACTACTGTTTCATTGTAGTATGGAACTTGCTCAAAAATGTACATTCATGACTGAATCAGGGATTAAAATTAAAATCTTCAGGTTTCGATATGAGCTCTCAACCTTTAGATTACTGAGTTGGCGTTCAATGGTTTACTTCTCCAACTGAGTTTAATAGCACATAACCATCATCCAGTGATGCCTATTACTAATTTATTGTACTATGAACGTAGTTGTTGTCCAGTGCTTAATGGTTTTCAATACTTGTCTAGCCAAGGTCAGTTTGTAATGTAAATTATAAAAGTCAACAATTTTCACAAACCTCCTACACTGATGAAAATCATTTTATTTATAACTAAGCATTATGTTTACTACAATACTTACAAACGAATTATATTTTCATCGTTGATGATTGAATTGCGAACCGAAATGCATCTTCAAACTTATTCAAGTGATCTTAATATTTATCAAATCAAGTTCTTTACTTCCCTTAATTACAGTTTTTAAACTAGACCAGAAATAATGATTTAGTCGAATTTCTAAACTCCCTTATAACTCTACAATCATAACAATCTTAATAGTTTTATATTATGTAATGCAGTTACAACTACAAAATAAAGTGATGGAAACAATCAGGATCTTTCCATCGCCGAAAAATCAATATAAATATGTATACATCTTTCCTAGATGTATAACAGGATAAACGACAATAATAATAATAATAATAGTAATAATAATAATGATAAATCCCACAAAATTTAATTACTTACCACTAACCCAAAGTGGTAGCATGTCGGCTTTTCGGTATTAGAATGTGTAGAATATTTGTCAGAGTGTATATCATCATGCAAACAATGGGGCATTTTTATTCTATCAGGTTTTTGTTGTATACCACTGTTATTATTATTATTATTATTATTGTTATTATTATTATTATTATTATTATTATTATTATTATTATTATTTAATGAGCGTTTCGATGGTGATGTGATCGACTGTACACAATGCGATATAGTACGTAATGATTTACTACGTTTTTTATGATAACCTATTAAATGAGATTTATTTACAATAGAACCTTCTATGGTATAAAAACTATTATAATCATCACAAGTACCGATATTCTTATTATGATTTTTTAATGATCGATTCGATTTTCTTCTTACTGAATGTGTAATGAAATTTTGAAAACGTTTTAAAAAAGTTTTTGTTTGTTCTATAGTTCCCCGTTGTTCTTCGTCGTTAATATTATTACTATTTAATTGTGTTGAGACTGATAAGTAGGCTAGTCCAGTTGATGATAATTTTGAGGAAACTATTGATTGTGACAATGTTTTCTCCTCACCATTAATAACAAATGAAGTATTGATTGGGTCTATCGAATGATTTATTTCGCAATTATGACAGATACAATAAAATCCATAATGGTCTTCGACAAATTCTATGTAATTTTGATGTAGTTGTGGGGTATGGTCATGATGGATTAAACATTCTGAGTTGCCATTATTATATTGAGATGATGATATTTTATTTACATAATTCCTATGACTAGTAAGAGACAACGACAGTGTGTTATTTAAGATTGAATTGAAAATCTCAGATGATGGTGGATAACTTTCATCTGAGCAAAATTTATGCGGATCACTGTTATTTAAATTTGTCTCTGAAGGGGATGATAATGACGAAGAAGAGACGGTGGACGTTGATTTCAATGTTGACAAATAAGTGAAAATCTCGGCAGAACTATTTATTTCAGTGACAGAATGCATGTAACTTACAATAGTATATTGACGGGTAGAAAGAATACTGTTTAATGCTAATAATACTGATTGGTCATCGTTGATTAATTACTGATTTAATAATAAAGCAGTTTAATTGATGTTTAAGCAGTCCAAATAGTTTATCATTCAAATGAGTAATATTTGTACAATCCGGTAATTTTAAGGAGGTAATTGATGATAAACGTGAGAAATCTGGGCCGCTATGAGAGGACGATGTTATGATTACTGTAGGTGGAATGGAAATGTACAGTATGATGAAGTCGGTTGAATTTGACAAAAGTGCGACTCTAACATTTACATTGATGATACCAGTGGAAACATCAATTCTCAAGCTACAAAATAATTAGACTTCGTCTGCCATAAATATATCTCAGGGATAGTATGGAACCTTTCCCCATTGACGAAGCGTGCTATTAAATACATATCCAAAAACCACTATATATATACACACACACGTATGGACTAGACATTTAAATACGGTGAAGGTGACTAAATGATTCCTATTGGACTATAAAAGACATCTCCACACAGCCTATATAATACATTTTGAGAAGATAGACACACTAATCTAGGAGGAAATATGTAAAAGGGATGGAGGGGAAACAACCTGTTTCAAACAAATGAACATGTTGGGTCTTCCAACAACATGAATAATGTGACCTTGTCGTATATGCGTTTAGTCAGATAGTCTTGACAAATCTATAGATTTTGTTGGTGAACTAAAAATCAATCAACAAAACGATACAATATACAGCATCTCAAAAAAGTTACTTAATTGCTACATTAGTTCACAACTTTATCTTAGAAACAGATCAGTTTATTATATTAAAAATATTTTCCCTTTCAAATGAAACCTAAAAATCGAGAAATTGAAATAAGCCTGTTAAGTATCAGTAAAATGTTAATTTAATTGTTGAATTCATGAGTCAATTCAAGTTAGACCTACATAGAAAACCTGGAAGCACTGAACGACCGCTTCGTCCTAGTATGGGAATCCTCAGCAGTGGTTAAGTGCTCGCGCGCGAGACTGAGAGGTCCTGGGTTCGACACTCGCAAGGCGGGACCATGCACGCGCACTGCCGAGGAGTCCCATACTAGGACGAAACGGTCGTCCAGTGCTTCCAGGTTTTCCATGGCGGTCTAGCTTCAACTGACTCATGAATTTAACAACTAAATTACAAGAATATCCACAAAACCCTCTCTGATTAAAATGTTAATTTGTTAAAGGTAATAGGAAATAATACTGATGATTCTTAAGGAATCGATGTTTCTCACTTCACTTTTAGATACCATATTCTCAATTCTTGAATAAAGTCAAATTTACATTTACTCATAAATCAGTTTTTTTTCTTAAATGGGTGTAAAACTAACCTAAAAACCATGTATATAGAACTGTGTACAATTGTTAAACTGATTTCACCAAAAGTGATCGAATGAATCATTAGAAACTTGAGCGTACTTTAAGTGAAATTAAAGTAAGAATATTAGCTGATTATACGCACATTGGATACAGTTTAGAATAATATTACAAGTCTGAAAATGTGTCAGATTAGGTCATCATCGTAAACCTAGTGTTAAAGAAATTTTAGAGGAAATATGGAAAAATATACGTAAATTTGTCGTTAGGATAAAAAAAACAGAATAAAGAAACCTCTCACAAACGTGTGTGTGTGTGTGTGCGTGTAGTAACAACTGCACAGGGACTGTAAAACAGGTGATCGATGATAATGGGTAAATAGTTTAAAGATTATTACGGAATTACTTGTCATCGTAAACCAATAAAAGAATCAAGTTAAGAGGTTAAGTTTCGAAATTTAGGACAAGAGTCAGTGCTAAGAGTTAAGAAGGGAGAATGCTTCGTGACCATAATGATTAAGACTTAAGTGAATAGTCCTTTAATTTTAAATCACAAAGTCTACTTAGTTACTTTGGAAAATCCACAAATCATGCCCAAACGATATATTTATTTTAATACTGTTCGTTTTCTATCACTTTTTCATCTTCATTTTAAGGATCATTCAGGTTCATAACTATTCCCTACTCTTATCCTGGTTATTGGTTTTAAGCTTATCAATAAGTAACTATTGGTAGGTTTCATTGAATCATTAAATAGCTTTTATTGATCAAGTTATTTACCACAGCGCTTAAAATTTTGCTCAAAAATCCATAGAGCCTCTATCCTGAACAGAATGGATTCAGCAGCGCAGTTTACTTCTGTCAAAATGAACTTAGAAAAAAACTTCGTGTACATTAAATAAACATTAAAAGAATAAGCTTAGAATTATTTCGAATTTGTAGAGCTTTAGTTATATTGAAATAAATTTCTATCACATATTAACATTAATTAGAAAGTCACTACAAAGAAAGATTATTAGAATGTAGTACCATTCTGCTTTACGAATACTATTCAATGCATCCACAACTCTACTTAGTAAATGAGGTATATATTTCGCGACAATCACCATAGTAATCAACCAATAAATTAGGATCCAATCTCCTACCTTTACTAACATCATACTATTTACAATACAACATGATATTTGTTAAGTATTACGGACAGATATTAGCCTTCCGGTTTAAATGACTTCAAATGTTACGGTTCACAATTACAACTTCAAGACATATCTGTTGTGAAATGAACCATTTGAACGAGCTCTAAAGATTCTATATTTGTAACAATTACATACCCGTTGAACAATTTAATGATTACCTGGACTCATTAGTTCACAGAATAAAGTAGTGTATTCAGGGTTTCAGTATAAACGTTAACAATAAAATTCAGGTACATCTACCTGGCGAGTATCAAATAGAAATAAATATGAGCCTTCCATTTGAATACTTCTTACAATCCCAAGTCCACTGAAATATGTATGTATATTAACAGTTTTCTTATTGATAATAATATGAAAATAGATCATCTCTAAACTATTGACCAATTGATGGGTTCTTTTGATTTGTATATGTCCGTTTATTTGTAAATTAATCCTTAAATAACTGAAATTGTTCTCTATTGTTATTTGGTTGAATATTAACTTTTTAAAAAATATATATAAAACACAATCTGAGTGAGTAATTCAAACATACCCATCATACAAGTTTATACATGAAAATTTAAGATCAGTAATAGAATCAAAATGTAACATTAACATTTCTAGGTTCACGGTTTATATCAGTTAAAATAAGATTCAAGGTTCATTGTGTTAGATTCATGCGGATCAATATGTGAAAATAAACTTTATACAAAGAGGTCAGTTCAATGGAGAACTTAATATCTAGTTTGAATGAGTTTTAGTCAATGTAATAAAAAATCAATACAAGGAACAAGTGTATCCATAGGAAAATATTTAAATAACGAATTATAAATTATTCAAAATTTATTTATTAAAAAATAAAGGATGAATCCTGTTGTGACGTGGGATGTCCGTAATCTGATACTGATACACAGTGTACTACGCGCTAACCCCCCCCCCCACCAACTGACCACTTGAGCGAGAAAGTGTATTTGACTATCGAATAAAATGCACAAAAACTTATCCATATATATAGAATTCTATCCTTAGGAAATCGATCCATTAATCCCAACGAGATGCACTTGACCTTTAGTTCACTTCTGATTGCCATCGATTGACCTTAATCACTTTTGATTGGCTCTCCATATCCAATTCGCCTGTGATACTGTCACATAGATTTTGAGCTATTTAGTACAAGGTTTTTAATTACTAATTTCTATCATCTTAAAGATTTTATCCAAGACATAATTGAACTTAATTCATTTTTGTATTGGTTGTTTGAATCTTACCATTGGTATTTACGACTATAAATGATCAGTCTCTTATTGGCATATATGCATCGTGTGCGGATCGCTTCTATGTTGACTTAATTCACAAGCATTGTAAGCAAAGATGGATGCTTGCTAGCAGTGGAATCCAGGATGCTCGTTTCGTCCTATTTTTAACTGGTTAACTGGATGTACCTGCATCTCAGAGTTGATGTTCACTCCGAGACTCAAACCCAGTGCCGTTCATTTCAGACACCATCGGTTTATCAACCTAGATACTGAGTTGACGGTACTGGGTTTGAGCCCCGAAGTGAACTTCAACTCTGGGATGCAGGTACATCCAGCTGACCAGTCCCGAATAGGACTGCTAGTCACCATCCATCTCTGCTTATAACATTTGAGCATGTCTAAAGAACTCATTTCAACGACAAATGATTCCATTAACTTGAGTAATGTTTATAGGATTTGATCACATTTAACTTTCTACATAATTTTAATTTAATTACCAGTACCACCGCAGTACGTCATCACCTAGTTATCTTGGTTGGTGGTTTTTATATAAGGTGAATGATATAAAAACGTTTGTAAAATAACACTAAACCTTAAGTAACTCATCAGTGAATCAATAGTACTTAGTTATATAGCAACTGTGATAAAATAACAAATTGAAAAGAGCAAGAACAAAGATTCATGTTTGTTCTTGCTCTTTTCAAAATGATAAAGGGAACTATGTGTATAAAATAACAAATGACAAGCATTTTTAACATAATTGATGAGCTTTTAAATGTTGAACTAGTTATTATAGTAATTGAAAAAAGGTTAAGAATGAGGAAAGTAGTCCCTCCTAACAGTTACATTTATTGAAAGCAATGAGCCAATGAAATTGACCTTCAAGTATTATTGATTTATGCTCTATAAAGAGAAAAAAAGGCTGTTCCTATTGGCTAAGTTAAAACTACAAAATAAGCACGAATAATTACCATTGAGCAGTATGAAATTATGAAGTGAAATAGTTGATTGAGTTCAGCTGTTTCAATCACATTTAATAGATGTTATTTAATTGATGATCAATGTAAAAGAAATACCGTGTAAAAAAAGACACCCGAAATCGAGTTACAGAAAGTATACAAAAAGACTGTCTATTAATTTACGGACAATGAAGTATGATTACTTAAACTGAACAATGAATTGGTTTGTAAATTTATCTTTGAACTATTTGTTGCTATGTTATAAAAAAAACCCATTGAATAGTAAGCACCATAGATGTTAAGTGTAGAGTACTTTTGACAAAACACCTATAAGCCAACTGGTAAATATGTAAATCATTACTAATTGTGCTACTTAAAGGGTATGTTGAATATATAAGCAAAAAGGTAATGGAAATTTGAACTCCCCTAACCCCTATTTATCATTGGATATATATATATAACCACCGGACATTGAAAATACACTCTGTATTTTAGAGGTGACTCTTAATACCATGACTTTTCATTTCATACTAAAAGAACTTCACAAGTGTAACATTTCAAAATAAGTCATATTTCACACTGTCCTTTATATTGGTCAATAATCAATAAATTTGATACACATACTCATGTTAAACCAATCACATTCATCAAACAGTATATAAATGAATGTATTCCGTCTAGTCTATTTTAATTTTCTATATTGCCTATAAATAATACATTCAAATAGGAAGATCAACTACTTCACTTATTATATTAAACACATCGAGAGTTTTTAATAAATACAAAATTTTAACCACCTTAATCTGTATTGTAAATTGTTTTTTAAGTGAGTCATAGGTTAACGACAACAACAAAAAGTACTAGCCATCATTGTCATCATCGCCATTAAGAACAATGACAATAATAAGAGAATTACAATTGAAATAAACAATTCAGGATAATAATTGTTAGTTTGTCCAGATTATTGATTTCTACATAGAAAGATGAATGGAAGAGAGATTATTATCCATTTTAATAAATTACATTTGTTACAATTAAAATTTTTAATTATAATCTTAATACGATGACAATTAATATGGCAGATGAGTAAACACACATAGTGAGACTGAATAATGTACAGAGAAAAACTTAGTCAAATGAAAATTAATTTCAGAAAGGGTTTTTGTGGATGTCATAGTAATTTCAATAGTTGAGATCATGAGTCAATCGAATCTAGACGACCATAGAAAACCTGGAAGCACTGAACGGCCATTTCGTATTATTGTGGAACTCCTCAGTAGTGCCCATTCCACGATCCCACCTCGCGTCAATTGACTCATGATTCAAATATCGGAATTACTATAATATTCACAAATACCCC